ACTTGAGGATGAATCACCTCTTCCATTGGTAAGGCCTTTTTATTAACAAAACTTCTTGCAAAAGGAAATTCACTTTCATTAAAAACAACATGTCTTGGGAGATAAATTTTTCTTATACAATTGAGACATTTAAAGCCCTTATATGAATTGTTGTAACTTAGGAAAACACACTTAGTAGACCTGAATTGTAACTTGTGTTGATTATACGATCTAAGACATGGATAGCAAACACAGCCAAATACTTTGAGTTGAGAGTAATCATGAAACTTAGTATGTAATCTTTCATATGGTGAAATACCACTTAAAACTATTGTAAGCGGTTTGTTTATTAACTCTATAGCAATGTGAAATGCATTCCACCAATAAAAAAGTGGCATTTTAGCTTGAGCTATCAAAGTGAGTCCCATGTCTACTATATGCTTGTGTTTTCGTTCTACTATGCCATTTTTAGGGGAAGTATGAGGACAAACAGGGCAAAAATCATTGCCGCCTAATTCTTGTAAAAGTTTTGAAAAACTTCTATATTCACCCCCTAATCACTTTGAACTATTTTAATGTCTCTTTCAAATTTTTTTTCTATATGTGCTTTTAATTGTTTGAACATGAAAAATGCTTCATCTTTGTTTTTTACTGGATTAATCTATGAAAATTTGTTGTAGTAATCAACAACCAACACATAGTATTTATAAACATTCATAGATGTTATAGGAGAAGGTCCCCGAAGATTCGTGTGAATTAACTCAAGAGGCTTAAAAGCGTGAAAAATAGATACTTTGAAAGGTAATGAGTATGACTTGCCATATTTACAAGGCTCACAAAATACTATTTTATTGGTGGGAACATGCAAATTACAATCTCTAATCACTTTGTTCAAGATCTTATCATTGGGGTGGCTAAGTCTATAGTGCCACAGAACCCTATTAGATAAATTAGAAGTAGACATTGTACTAACAGCTTCTTCTCTAGCAACTAGGCAAAAACCTTCACTGCAACTTTCAACTAACTTCTCATCATCAACTAGATACATGCCATTAATTAGTGATCCTTGGAGTATTGTTTCTCTCATTTCCTAATCCTTCACAAAAAAACCTTTGGTATTAAAGATAATATTAGCACTATTATCATGAGCTATCTTGTAAACACTCAAAAGATTTTTTTTAATACCTGGTGAATACAAAACTTTGTTTAGCTTGACCTTCTTGTTAAGTACATTTTAAATAGTAGAAGAGCTAACTTTCTCAAAACCTAGTTTAGCAGTACTACAAACAATAATTTTAACATCACCATAAGCATTTGTGAGGTTATCTAGGTAGGTGGCATCATTAAGGACATGACTTGTAGCTCCACCATCCAAATACCAAGCATCATCATTGATTGTCTCTGGTATTGCATAAAAGCAACATTTACAGTAAAATTTGAGTTGTTAGCATCTGCATAAGAGGTAGTACTCATATTTCTAGGTGCAACAAAAGTTCTAAACTTTATGCCCATATTTCTCATAAACATTTAGGCTTGTCATTGTTCTTGTTTCCATAGTAGTTCCTATAACATTCTTATTTAATTTTCAAAGTAAATTAGAATTAATAAAAATAGAAAGAATGTTTGAAGATAGATAAATTAATTAGGAGATTTTTTTTAGTTTAACTTAGAATATAATTTTATGTTAAGATGAGTTTTTAGGAAAAAAAAAAGGGGGTTAAGGCAACTTAATTGTTAAGTTATAATATAATAATAATAATAATAATAATACAACTTAATTGTTAAGTTATAATAATAATAATAATAATAATAATAATAATAATAATAATAAATGAGAAGAAGAGGCGGTGGAGGGAGCATATAAAAGTGATCACCTTTGCCTTTTTCCATAGAAACTCACGCACAAGACAAGAGAGAAAGAGATTGAAAGGAGAAGGATAAGGGCTTAAAGGAATTTTAAGATAAGATTTCATATGCAAAATTATTTCTATTCCCAAAACTTCTTTTATAAATATTTTTTACTCATCTAGAGCTTTCTAATGATAGTAAAATTTTGATGAGTAAAGTAAATTTTAAAGTTTAAACTTAGAGGAAGTATTGACTTTTAACAATAAAAATTATTAATTAGTAGAGATAAATTAGTACTTAAATTCTATCAGTTTAGATTTATTTTATTAACTGATTTGAGAGTTTAAAATTAAGTTTTTAGCTATAAAATTTGTGATTTCCAAGGTATAGGGTATCTATATTGATTAAATTATGTTTTTGGGGTTTAGATAAGTTAATTTAATTTAATTTAATTTTGGATTTTTTATAGGAGGGATTTAGATTAGAAGGATATGGTTGTAAATTTGAGAAGTTTAGTTGAATTTTATATTGAATTGGTAAATTACAATATATATATATATATATATAATGATATTTATATCATTTGATGTCGTAGATTAATATGTTATTGTGGTTAAAAAGTTCCCTACATGTCTGACTAGTTATAACTTAGAAAAGAGGTAACATTGAAATATCCTTTCATATATTAAGATGCTAGTTTTATTATTTTGTGTGTGTGTGTATAAATATATTAATACTTGTGTGATCTTACTGTGGAATGTAACATTTATTTTATGTGATGCAAAAGAGGTAATAAAGATGGCTAGTAATGTAATTGTTTATTTGATTAATGATTGAATATCTATGCCGTGTGGTTTGCCTCCACTACACGTGCATAGTAGTTGGTCTTTTTCTTGTAGTTCCTAATTTCTTTGACATTTTGAGATAATAGACACCTCCTTTTTAAGGAAGGGAGTCCTATTCTAACGGCAATGTACCTTTAACCGAGTATAACTTTAGTTTAGGCTTTGGCTAGCAGTAATAAGAGAGTTGGGAGCCATAAGAGTGAGGTTAGGAAATGGATCACTGTTGTTTTAAATTGATATTGATTTAGAAATTGTTATATAATTGTAAATATTGCCTTTCTTATTATGTATATCTATAGATATATTTGCAAACCGGTTTCAAAAAGTATGTTGGTGTATGTTAGAATAATTAACTGTTATTGAGATTTTAATCTCACATGCTACTTTTTATCATTTTTAGGTGAGCAATCAAGTGGAGCTATAAGGAAGGCAACAAAGAAGTGAGCTTGGGCTCCCTTCTCTCGGCTTGGCACGTGGTTTTCTGTTTATTTCGTAATTATAGTTGTCATGACCTAGGGGCCTTTATAAATTTTATTTTGGATAATTGTTATAAGTTATTCAACTATAACTACTTAATCTTTTTGTTTGAATTGGATAACTTTTAAATGTGCAAATCCGGATCATAGTTTTCTATTGGGCCAAGCCCATTATTTTGGATTGTACATATAAATGGTATAAAAAAATGTGTGTTTAGCAGAGTTAATTATATTTATAAATTATTGTTAAACCCTGAACTTACTACAAATTATTTATTGGACTTCATCTGCCTTAAGTCTAGTAGTGATTGTTAATCTCAATGTCATTTTGTTTGGACGGGTATATTTTTGAGAAAAATGTTTATTTATAAACAAAGGGGGGAAGCAGGTTTTCTTTTGTAAAAAAAAAATTTATGGTAAAAATCAGGTCTATTACAGTTTCATAGTTGTTTCTACCATGGCCACAGGTTATATGAGAGCCTCTTTTACCACACCAGGCACCTCTAAGATTAGGTGAATCAGTAGCTCGAGCATAGTTCACAAATTGATTAGATAGGGTAAGTTGGGAAAATTGATTTAGTTGCTCCAGTTTGCTTTCAAAGGTAAGAAGAGATGCTTGAAAACCAATCCAAGTGAGAGTTTTAGCTTCAGTAGAGTGTCTACCCACTATAAGGTTGTATTCTGCATCCAAACCAACAAGGGTTTGAAAGATTAAATTAGCTTGAGGAGTGGGATTACCTGCAACTGCTAGTTACTCTGCGATAATCTTCATTTTTTAAAGATACGAGTCCATAGTTACAAATCCTTTGTGAGTTCTTTGTAGTTTAGAACGAAGGAGAAGAATATGTGCCTTTGTTTGTGCTCCAATGAACTGCTTAGCCGCGAGCCAAAGTCCTACTGAGGACGAAATATGAGTCATATGGGATGAAACATCCAGTGACATAAGATTGAATAACCACTTGAACAAAATCTTATTTGTGGCAACCCAACCTTCAAACTCGGGATTAATCTTTACCACATCTTCAATGGCATTGTATTGACGAGGACAAGCTTTAGTTTCATTAATGAATCCTTCAAGCTTAAACCCTTTAATAATGGATAACACATACATTTGCCAAATAATGAAGTTTGTTCTGTCCAACTTAATAGAGCAAGTCTGACTAAGAGAGCCATTAGTGCCATTGAGCTTGGGTAGATTAGTGGCAGCAATGAGAGTGGTAGAGGTTGAGTCAGATGAAGGAGAAGAACCAATATTTGAGGGAAACAAGGCCATGGCCCTGATACCAAGACGAGTTTGGTGATAAAATATTGTATATCGATGCTAGCTAACATACTAGGTATTTACGCAGCTTTATATAGTATTACACGTAATCCTAAGATAACACAGGAAGGGCCATGTACAAAAGGAATTATAATATACAAACAATTGTCAAGCAAAATAAATCAGATGGGCTATCTGTTAGTGAGCTTTGTTCTGTATCTTTAGACTTAACTTTTGTCGATATGGGCTGCAAGTGGGCCTTTGTTGTTACATGTATGGAGAGCTACTACGTTCACAGATTGTAACAATACAAGTTCTTTATTTTTTTTTTAAAAAAAATACAAGTTCTCTTGTGTTTTATAAATATATATAATTTGCAGCATTTTCCCCTTTTTTTAAAATAAAAAAATCGGCAATAAACAAACCGCTTATCACTGTTAATGTAGGGACAAGTTATCTTGTTAAAAAAAATTACTGATAGACTGACCATAATGATGATTTGTGGCGGGACTTTTATTGTTTTCGGCAGTAGCGAAGGCTAAAAGATATTTATGCAAGGAAGGCAGAAGTCATGTCAGAATGATCTTAGACAAGGGGGGGGGGGGGGAAATCCACGTTACTTTCACAACATTTATACAAGAATTTATCTGACCCATGAATCAATTACATTTGATGGCACACAACAATCATAGAAGGGAAAAGAAGAAAGAAACCTCACTATGACATCCTGCACAATTAGTTAATACACTCATTTCGTAATTATATCGCATTAATCAATGGCATGCTTACTTACAATTTCAACTAAATCAAAAAGACTCTAACTTTGTGTCGAGATTCTATCAGGTAAAGGCCTGCCTTCCAAGAATGACTTGAAGAGCACGAGGGATCTCTCAGGCTGTGAGAAAGGAACTTCATGGGAGGCTCCTCTCACAGTGGCAAATGAGAGGATATTACCATAAACTTGAGTCCACCCACCAACCTATACGCACATTTGCATCAATGAATTAGTTTGTGAATGTGTATACAAGTTGTATTATTTTAAGAGAGTGAAGTCTGGAGTCCGAAGGTTCCTTAACTCTTAATGGAGCCAAGACCTATGTATTTCTGAATACTGAGGAAAATTAACCTTGGGCCATGCATTAAACAAGTCCTACTGCCTTAAAGTGGAGAAATTTCCAAGTCTCTAGGCTCAAAAAGGAACCTTTTAGGGAAGATAATAATTTCCGGTTTCTCGCTAATTCAAACTACAAGATATTTAGTTTATACCTGCTGGCCTGCAAACCATACTCTGTAAGGCACCGTTGTATTTAGTGCTAATTTCCTTGCCAGTTTTCCAACCAAGGTGCGGCTACCAGTCAGAGGAAGAACAGAATCTTGATCTCCACTGTAGTCAGAGAAGTTTATGTTTCAATTTAGCAATTAAGATATCACCAAGGAGATTTTTCTTTTTTCTTTTCTTTTGGTTCCAACTACCTGTAAATTAAGACCTGAACTCCGACTTTTATTAGTGATCCAGCGACAGGGAGGGTAGGCGCTTCCAGGTTGAGCATATCGTAGTCCAGAATGCTGTTCCCAACAAAATGCAGATTAATTATTACTGGGTCGCCTGAAACTGTGTTCAGCTTAAGCAAGCTAAATTTATTCCGATTACTGTTCCCTCCAAAGTTCAATCATGCAATGCTCATAGGACAGAAGGCCACTTGCAAAAAAAATTTAGGCCGATCTATAAAACAATTAGACCCAGCCAATCATAAAGAGGTGTGTCAATTATCAAGCATAATTTTTTTTTTTTAACTAAAATCCACCTTAAACATGCTTACTTGTCTCTTTATAATTGGGTTAGTCTATAAGTCTTTTAGAGAAAATGACTAAGAATCTTAAAGCCAATTAGTAAAACAGAAGACCACTTAGAATTTATAGTTAAGGAAGGAAGGGATTACTTGCTGCAGACATCCCACTTGCGAACACCAAGAAGCCTGGCATGGAGAGCCTCACGTACATCTTTTTGGTTTAAATAATTTGTAACTTTGTCATCTACACATACGTCTACCATCTCGTTTGCTTGCTGCAAGGTAACCGTCCCCAGGGGGGTAGCAAGTTTGATAAATAACTAAGAGAAACAGAACTGAACCTGCAATACATTTATATTTAAACAGAGGGAGCTTACCTCAGTTTGAGGACAAATAACCTTGGACTGTGAAAGCACCGATGAAATGCAAACATCAAGGGTAACATCGTACTTGTCCACAAATTTACTGGTCTCTCTCCCTACTTGGTGCATAACCTTCGAACAAAGAGGCGAAACTGAGTCCCTATAGTATTCACTAACATACCGAGAATAATTACACACTTTAGTGAACATTTTGTAAGTTGAATCTGATATCAATCCATGAGACCAGAAGAACTCGGCCCTTGAATTGAAGTCAGTGGCATATTCTAGAAGTGGATTGCCCAACTGCAATACAATACAAAACACCATTTAGGCCTCAGGCAAATATCCAAGAGGGTGTCAATTGGCTTCATCCATAAGTAACTGGTATTACTCACAGCTATGCCTTTAAGATTGAATATCTTCTCCTCTTTGTTCATCTCAATCATGAGCTTTGCAAGTTGAGGAACATAATGCCCTGGTGTGAATGAGGGGGGAAAAATGAAAGAACAAATAATAATGATCACAATAACCCGCTTTTAGAGCTTGAATCTAAGAAATGGTTGGTAGGGGTAACTCAACTCAATAGGTACCTGCATAACTTTCTCCTGTCAGAAACAAGTCTCGGTGCCTGTACTGGGGGAATTTGCTGAACCAGCGTATCAGGAATACAAGGTTATCCCTGGCTTAAGAAATACAAGAACACTGCTTCAGAAGACAAAATAATGACTATTTGAGTATTAAAGGACAACCATATTAGCCATACCATGCCAAAATCAAAAGCATAATAGATCACGTACCCACTGATTCTAATGCCTACCGTGGGGTAGTGAAAGATGAAAATTAATCATGAAAAAGAACCATACAAAGAAAAAGTTGAGTGTGGCATTTCAGAAATACCACTGCTTTGTCTCAACTTTTTTTTTCTAAAGCCTAAGAAGCAGACATCTTGTACGTGACTTTACCCACAGTAAATAGGGTTTAAAGGAGCTTTCTGAAGTCATTGATAATAGTTGAGGATACCTGTTGCCTCATCGTTTACTGTCAAATTGGAGGAGTTTCCTTTGGCATAAGAGAACCCCACTCCTACTGGTGTCTCCAAATACAACATGTTTGCTTCTGCAAAATCAAGAAAGTCAACAATTCATTCTGGCCAGACTTGTATCGTTGAATAAGTATGAATTTTTCAAATTACCTTTGTTCCAACTATACTTGTTTTCAATCAGAAGCTTCCCATTCGGTCTGAAAGGCCCATTTTCAGAGAATGCACCCACTCCCAAGGAAGAACAACCAGGCCCTGCGTAAAAACCAAGGACAAGCCAATACATTTGCAGAATCTTCAAATAAAAATGGTGAACCCAAAATTTTCAAGCATTGCAGAAAAACCATCGGAGAAAGAGAGAGATTACTAACCTCCATTGAGCCAGAGAACCAGAGGCTTCGAAGCAGGATCCGTGTCGGATTCAACGAAATAGTAGAACAGAGCCTTCTCATTCTTATCGTCCACTTCAACGTATCCTGAGAACTGTTGAAAGCGAACTTGGGGCTGGCCAGGAAGCCTGAGAATAGCATCTCCAAGCGAAGAAGGAGAACGGGCGTCCAAGCAAATACCCATCTGAAACGACACCATTATGACCATGGCCAAGGCCTTCCATTGCCACCATGTCGGCCAGTTCATGATTTCTCAAATGGAGAAGAGGGCAAAGCAGCGTTATAGAGTTGGAAGCAGCAGTGAGGGGTGGATGGTGAATTTAAAAATGTCTGAAATATAAGAGAGAGAGACAGAACAGAGACGGAGTGCAGAAGGTGGGGCCCACATGGTGGGCCAGGGTCTCTCTATTCTGAATCTGATTATCATTGCTGTTTTTAGCTTTTTCTTTGCAGGGCTGAAATGGCGTTGAAAGAGATGCCAGAGAGGTCATCACCACCACACTGAGCTGGTTCTGCATCAAAAAGGAAATTCATATAAAGAGTTGGGTCTATGAATTGAATCCGCGAAGCTGACTCCGCACATAAGGTCCACCAGAAAAGATAGAATACAAGAAGTAAAACCTTTCTGTTACTTATTTTACTTTTATTTTACATTTTAATTTGCATAATTATACAATTTGTTTAATATAGGAACGTGTGATGCATATCGTTTTCAATCAAATATAGGGTGTGTTTGAATTTCTCTAAAATGGAGTTTCCTAAGTCAAATAAAGTTTTATAAAATGAAAGTGTTTAGATAAATTTTTATAAAATTATGATTTTAATTTTAAAATTAATTTTTAATGAGTATCCAAACAGATCCATAATAAAACAATGGAGTAAAGTTGTGTTGAAAGTAGAAACTATTCAACAGGGTTTAATAATTCGAGAAACGTTTCTCAAATAATAAAAAGATTCGCAATTTGGTTGTTTTGAGTACTTGGTACAATTTGTATGATAATATTCTCCATTTCTCCTCCGTTGTTCTCTCTGTGCCTACGAAATTCCTAGACTAGTCTTTTTTACCACGATCACAGAACTGGCTTTTCAGAGACAGCCAGAAAATAAACGATGCGTTAAAGATACTTCAATATATGCTTATATACGTACTCCTCCTATGGCTGATAGAGATTCCAGGGAAGATAGAGCAATCCTACTTCTGTGATCTCTAATAAATAAATAAATAAATAGTAGATTCAAGCTTTTTCAGAGAGGCTGGCACAGTACACTCAAATACATCACTGACCTTAGAAAATTCTGGGAAGAATATTTGGGTAGATTCTCCTTTGGGTTTCTTTTTTCTTTTCTTTTCTTTTCTTTTTTTTGCTTGTCTTTTGCATGAAGAATCATTTTTGTTTAATTTAAAAAAACAAGAGTGTGATATCAGGGATGAACATGTTGGGTTGACGAAAAGCCAAAGATTCTGACTTTTTTCACACTGGTCTCTTATCTTCTCTTTAGCCCATGGTGGTTGAGCGTCGAGGAGATCTTGTTGTTCATGACCACTTGGGCATTTTAATTACTTTCTTTGCCTGCATAACCTAGTATTATATGCCTATCACACGCTGAGTTGAGAGAACTTTAATAGGAATCAAACTAATTTGAATCAAATTCAAACGAAAGATCTACCATTAATGCTACTACATTTTTAAAGTTTAAATTCAAGACCTCTAATTAAACTAGTATATCTCCTTAATTTATCAATTGAACCAAGTGTCCTGTAGTTAATTGCTTTATCCTTTTAGTACGTGAAAATGTTATTCAAATATTTGGAGCATTTAACTTCGTTTCCTCAAGCACTTTGGGTCTGGATGCTTGCTGAGCGCTTTTTTGGAGTGATTAATATGTTGAGACTCGGAGAGAAAATCTTCGTACTACTTCTAAAGTACTAAAAACATTAAACCCATACAAGGTTTGTTCGTTTTGCTTTTCTGTGTATCACAATGTTAATGTTGTCACCAAATTGTTTTTTTTTTTTTCAAATTGATTTGTGTGTGTGTGTGTGTGTGTGTGTAGAACGTGATATTGATATGATGGAGAGTAGCTTTGAGTTTAATTAATCTATGGTTAATCGATAGTCAATTCTTTGAAAAGTTCTAATATAGTTGTTATCAAGAATTTATTTGTGGAGCCACTATCCCAAAACAGGAGAAAGAATAAATAAACGAGAGTATGAGGAGAGTATACAGTTTTTTTTTTCAATATATACAGTTTAATTTAAAAGCTCAAAGTTCAAGTTTATTGGTCTTTTTTTCTTATCAACTCAAATTCACTTATCTTTAGGCATTTTATTATTATTTTTAGTATAAATATGACTTTCAGGTAAGTATACAAATTGTGAATGATCATCACTTGAATATATTTGATGAATATCACTGCATATATCCGTATGTATACATGAACGCATGTGTATGTACATATATTTAATATTATCTAGTCAAATCTAGACACTTAAATTTAATTGGATAGATCTTTCACTGTGATTTTTTTATCTATACGTTTGAATCCTCAAGTATTGTTAAATCATTTTCATCCAATCCAATCCAGCTATTGATTTGTTGGTTACCAATATATATATATATATATAGTGCTGTCGTTGTTAGAAGCATGCAACATGCATCTGAAAAGCTATACACATTAATATCTTAAACATAGCCGTTCTATTTATTGTAATATTTTAATATTTATGGCGTACGTACTCCCCCATCCTCAGCTGTTAAGCAGTTTTAAGTTCTCCTATGAAATTAAAAAACAACAGTTAACACATTAAATATATCTTCAAAAGGAAATTTTATTAACGTTTCCCTTATTAAAAATAGGAAAGGGAGATACAAAGTATAGATGAATCATAAAATTAAATTTTAAAAATAATAATAAAATCTCTCAAATTATATACATGACAATTTAATTTTTAGAAAATGCCATAATTTTATTAAAGTTCCTAGCTTTATCTATATCAATAAATTTTAAATTAAAAAAAATATTTTACCTTTATTGACAAGTTATAATTTATTATTTAATTATTATAATTTTTTAAATAAAAGTTGTTGTTCATTGAACAAAAGTTTGAATGGAATTTATTACTTTGAGAACTTATTTTTCAACAATTAAAATTATACTTGATAAGTTGTAATTTTTTTATTTAACTCTTATGATTTACAGAATAAAAGTTATTATTTCTTAAATAAAATTTATGATTAGGGCTTTTTTTTTAATAACAAAATTTACACTTGATAAGTTGTGATTTGTTGTTCAACTTTTACAATTCATAAAGCAAAATTTATTATTGAGGCTTGTTATTTTTAATATAGGTAAAATAGGCTTTTTACTTTAAAATTTATTGACACAAAAGTTTTTAGGAACTTCATTGAAATTATGATATTTCAAGATATCGAATTATCATTTATATAATTTAAAGGAATTGTATTATTATTTTTTCAATTTAATTTATAATAGTGATAAAATTAGAAAATGATATTAAATAACCCTGCATATGTCTTGTATTAAGAACTAAAAAAATGTGACTGGCAATAAGAGCCGGAGAAAGTATGCAATCCGTTGAAGATTAAGTTATATATACTCTAGTATATATACAAACTGTTTCAAACCAAATATTTGCTAGTTAGATAAACAATTAATTCATTATTTTTTTCTCATATCATCTATTACTATATTTTATTAAATCTTTATGATAAGATACTTTCAATTATCTCAACGGAATTAAAGAGAGATAGTTAAATTATTAACTTTGCTTAAAAATGTAATAAATTTTTAATTTTACTCTTATTTGAATAAAAAAAATTTAATTTGTATTACATTCTCTTTTATAATTAATGAATTTAAATAGAGATGTTATTTAAAAAATGTAATCAATATCTCGTAGTGTATCTTATATCAAGGATAAAACATATTTTTTAAAGGTATCATATAATAAAAATTAGAGAGAGTATAATTTATTTAATATGAAACATAAAATTTATTGACAGGTGCATTATCCATGTAACGGTGAATAAATGCAACTTTGGAGATGCAGTTGACTGCATATGAAACATGCCTAACGAAAGCAAGAGATGAGATTAACAAAACATTATAATGAATCAAAAAGTTGAGGCTGGGCTTGTCTGTCTCTATGGCCAATAATTAAAGTGAACAAGAGGGGTTAAATGAAGCAAACATTGTCACGAGAATGTAATGCCTTGATAATTAATTGTTCTTGTAAAGCTCTTTAGCAGCGATGATTATGAATGATGATGATATGGGACAAATAAAGAAGTAGCCCCCACGTTGCTTCAGTCACGAATCATATCAAATAAACTATTACTTCTTTTATTTAAAAATATAAAATATTTTTAATTAATTTTTAATTTTAATAAAATAATTATCTACTTTTTAACTAATCCTTTCTTTTTATATTTACTCTTATTAAATATTCTATAATAAATATAAAGTCATTATCAATAGAAGCACTTTTGATAAAAAGATAATAATCACACCTCAAAAAATTTAAAAATATCTTATATTTTTAAACATCTAACTGCTTAAAAAATACTTCACTTTTTTAACGGAGAGAGTATATATTATGGTCTCGTTTGATTATTAAAAAAATAAAATAAAAATAAATTAAATCACTCTTATCTTATAGTAAGTATGATAAAACTCATTAATATATATTATAAATATGAAAAATACCACATTATTCAAAAATCTTATAAATTATGATTGCTAACCTCATGAATTAAATTAACTCCCATTATTTTTACTTTTATTTTTTTATTTATTTCATTCAATTTCTTTTTAATAAATAAATGGACCATATTTTTTTTAGGTCACATGGTGGGGCAGCGGGAGGCACATGCACCTCATTAAGGCTACAAAAAGCTCACGCGCTAATTAACTTTACATGCTTCTCTCCTCCGTTGCCAATCTAAGTCTTATTTCCTTAATTTTGATCATTTTTTAAAATTCAATTTGAATTGATTGGGTTCCAGTGGATACCTGAAATTTTGGTTAATATTTTTTTAATTTAATTTTTTTCATTTTCCCTATACAAATACAAATATTTAAAGCCCAACTTGCATAACATAACCGCTATATAGTTTAATATATAATGGTTATAACCAATGATTAAAAAATCAAGCCGAATCAGTTAGTTAAATCATCAATCAATCAAGCTAACGACTTGGTCAAGTTAAAAAAATTGTTTGAAAAGTTGAGCTGGATTGGACCACTTTGGATTAGGAATTGGATTGGTTTTTAAAAAATCAGACTGTTCAA